GGCAGCTCAGATAGTGCACTCACGGCTAAGATGTTGGCCTTCAAGCTATGCCAAGCAATCGTATCGTACTAATTTGCATATTTGTAAATGGGAGTGCAGGTGAACATCATGAACGAATAGTTAACGATAATATTGCTTCTGTAATAACAAAAAGAGAAAAATTCAGGGATTGACTTCCACATTGGCCTCAACCTTTCCGAAGAGTATCGTGTTGCTCGTATAGCTCCAATCAAGATCTCAGAACGATTTATGGAGATCTTTCTCAAATTTCGTTCCGCATTGAAGTTTTTGAGATACAGTTTTGCAGACAAGGTAAGCTTTGCAATAGCTTTGCAAATACCAAGCAAGCAAAATGCTCTGATTCTAGAAATCTTCAGTCAAAGCTGTTAACAACCCTTCGTGGATAGAAGTGTCTCCGCAATGTTGTACGACGAATGATCCTGAACAACATGCAATAGAGCAAGCGGCGTGGCTTGGAGTGGGAAATGCACGCTCATTAGCGCAATTATTTGATCTGGTAATACAAGTATTTTTGGGAAAGTAGATTTTTCGGAGTAGTTTTCGTTTGTAATGATCCTTTTTCTCCATTACTTTGAATAAGTAGAATAGTTCTGTCAAAAATCGGTACAGAACTATTCTACTTTACAAAAAGAGGTACAACTCCTGGCTGATACTTTACCGTTCCAAAAAATGCATCTACTGTTAAACGTTGATTACTCTCTGTCTCATTCTCTTTCATAATCTAGAAATGGAATGAAAAGGCTGTACTAGGTTTATCACAAAACCGAAAATCTTATCTAGTAACACCTTTTACAACGGTCAACCTTGCCCTTGCAGCAAAAGCAATCCGGAAGAGTCAGACTACTTATGACTGCTCCTGAAGGTTGGAGTTCCCGATTTTGAATGCTACTTTTGCGCTCACTTTTCTCCAAAATTATGAGGTTTATGAGGTAATAATAGCCGTCTTCTCCATACTTCTCAGGAATTCAGCAGCCTGCAAAGCCGAGTTTACTTCTATCAGAGGACATCGAGTTTAGAAACTCCCCACAAATGTTCGATTCTTCTGTTTGAAGTGGCAGTTTTATCATGCTGCTGAAATCCCACCTACTCTACGATAATGAAGAAGCATCATTTAGCAAGATGTTTTATGTAATAATTCCATGTAAATTCCTAACACCAATACCTTCACAATGGCTTCGTAGTCTGTTAAATGGCGGATATAGGGGTCGAGGGTTTAGAGAAGAAAGAGATCACAATCGATACTGATGTTAAGCATAAAATGATATGTGTTAACAAAGTCAGATAAGCCAGCTATGCAGTTTACCATCGTATACGTACAGTAATGAAGAAACCTCACCAAGCACGATGAGTATCATTTTCGTAGTTAGCATGTCAGACAATCCGTTGAATTGAATTTTATTTAGTTCCGAGCTTTCCAAATATTGACCTATCCAAGTAAATCGATAAGATTCCATGTTCGCTCGCAAGAGAAATCCCACTTCAGCAGTGGGGTACCCAGAAGTTTTTTTCGGGGGAGGGGGGAGGGGTGG